TCTTGCTTCTCTGAATACGGATGGAACAAGCAACGGATGAATCTGACTGGAGAACCTGTAGTGAATGGCATCTGCAGTGACCTGTCAGTCACGAACGCACAATGCTAAAGCAGAAGGTAGTGCACTAAACCTAACTTTGGCAGTTTTGTTACATTTTTAGGTTTAAAGGCACAAACTGCAATTTTAAGCTGATAGAAACCACAAAAGTAAATTGCCTTCACAAAAGCAGAAAGACATGTGAGATTTATTTAAAACAGTACTCCAAACACAGTTCAAATACACGTTTTACGATATAATTTGTTGTACTAACTATAGATGAACTCCGAATACTCTTGTCTGTAGGTCATATGAGGTTAATTAGATTATGTGTTTATACAGACTCACAATTCATCTTTTATTTTGTAGAGGGTGTTTTCAGTAGGTCAAGTTTCCAAAGCAAAACGTCACAGCTGATGTGCTCCTGCAAGTACTGTTTTGACCAAAACAAGTGAACTGAGTGTGATTCGGAGGACTACCAGTTATTTTAGGTAACAAGCTGACAGGAGGACAGCCATTAGAGTTCAAAAGTTACATGTTTGACGTGTGAGGGTGTGGGACACCTCATATTTACAATTCTATTAATGGCTCCAAAGGTCAAGAACAGCCAAGACAGCATCTCAGCGCTGAATATAGACCTTCATAAACCACATCAGGTGACAGAGCATAGCCTTGGTGATGTGGCAAACCCTTAATAAATAATCTCACTCAAGTCTCTTCTCAACACCCCTGATTTGACAACTCCTCTGAGGAGCAATGAGTGAGCCCTTCATTACCTGTTAACTTCGATCCCATCAGTTTGGAAGAGGACAGTTACCGGAGGATAATTGTTTCTCTTGTGTGGTCAAGAGCTTCATCTATCGTCTGGGGATGATGGATGAATCTAATGTGGAAATTAAAGGAACACAGCTGGCAGTACCAAACTGACATCAGTATTCCACTTAGACTTGGGTTGTTTACTGTCTTCCATTTACAAAAAGCTTTTAAGAAAACTGACTGGTAATGTATTCCAGTTCACATTTGAGGGTACATTATGCAAAGATTCAAAACACATTTTTCATTGTCAAAGTTAAAATGAGAGCATGATTATATGAACAGTATATGTAGAGGTCGATAACCTGAAATTAAATTGGTAATAAGATGGTGAGCTCATTTTCAACTCAGCTGCCCCCCATTATGACTCAGTAGACGTGTGGCAAACCAAGATGTGCTTTTTCGCCCCATTCTGACTCTGGATGACATCTCTACTATGACAACATGCACAATACATCTTCCTGATCTACACCTTTGCCCTCTGTCAGATGAGAACCAGAGAATATTAACGTATAAGAAAAAAGTGTGAGGAAGAAAAGGTGTTATAATGGCTAGAGAGGGATGGTTAATATCCACGTGGGTGGTGCTACAGCCATCAAAGATTGTTGCTTATGCCTTCCTGCCAGGAGGGTACACAGTTTTACAACACAACAGTGTAATTTAAATAGGTCAATATACTCATTTTTCGCTGCATTATAAGCAAAAAGTGAATACTACAAGCTTTACAGAGGTAGTTGTAATATATAATAATGATAAAAGAAATCTGTCTCTTCAGTGTCACGTGGGCATCAGGTACGGTACCTGTGGAGTGGCAGACTGGGTTGGTGGTTCCCATTTTCAAAAAGAGTGTGTTCCAATTACTGGGCATCACACTTCTCAGCCTCCTCGGGAAAGTTTACTCTAGGGTGCTGAAAAAGAGGCTCTGACCAATTGTTGAACCTCGTATTCAGGAGGACCAATGCGGATTCCGTCCTAGTCGTGGAACAATGGACCAGCTCTTTACCCTTTCAGAGCTGCTGAGGGGGGCATGGGACTTCGACCTATCAGTCCACATGTGCTTTATGGATCTGGAGAAGGCCTATGACCGTGTTCCCTGAGGGACCCTGTGGGGGTACTGAGGGAGTATGAGGTACCAGGCTCACTTCTACAAGCTATTCGGTCCCTGTACAACCAAAGTGCAAGTTGTGTGCACATTTTCGGGAATAAGTCGGACACGTTCCCAGTGGGTGTTGAACTTTGCCAGGGCTGCTCCTTGTCCCCGATCCTGCTTTTGGTCTTTATGGACAAGATCTCAAGGCACAGCCAGGGTGAGGAGGGTGTCCGCTTTGGGGACTTCAGGATCGCGTCTGCTTTTTGCAGATGACGTGGTACTGCTGGCGTCATCAGACTGTGACCCTCAGCACTCACTGGAACGGTTTGCAGCTGAGTGTGAAGCGGCAGGGATTAGATCAGATCAGTACCTCCAAGTCTGAGGCCATGGTCCTCTGCCGGAAACCGGTGGATTGCCTGGAGGGAAGTCTGGAGTGACCTGCTCCGCCTGCTGCCCCTGCGACCTGACCCCGGATAAGCAGAAGAAAATGGATGGATGGATGGATGGATGGATGGATGGATGGATGGATGGATGGATGATAATAAATCCCATAGCAATCTATAGCAGCTATGTAAGGATGTTCTTCAAGCTAGCATGCTCACAATTGACATGCTGTTTTGCAGGTAATGATAATATGGATGCTAACATTTGCTTTGTTAAAACTGATGTGATGTTTTTATGATGGTGTAAGACAACATCTTAAGGAGTCACCTAACTTATCATAATTCATTCTGTGCTAAATATCAATGACTGACCAAATTCTTCAACAAGACATCAAATTTTTGTCTCAAGATGTTGTGTAAAACTAGAAATGTCAACCTCACAGTGGCACTCAAGAAAAAAATAAAAGGATCCTTTAAGTCCTCAGATACACGTGGCAGCCTCCAGGGTGGAAATTAAGTGTGTGTAGAAGTGCCAAAAACTGCAATTCCTTTGGTGGCCACTTGAGGCTGGTACAAAAGGTAGCTCAATCCCTATAAACCCCCATGTTAAAATGTCCAACTTCACAGCAGAAATAAGCATACTTGCACAAACAAATGTATTGGTCTCTGTAGCTACTTTCCCAGTTCATGACAACTGTATGGTAACTCACCCATTTAAATTGCATTAAAGTTATTCAAAATTGAGGGCATGGCCGCCTTGAGTATGACAGGTCGACAGCCAGAGCCAAAAACACTTAAAGAAACCTATGTATGACTTCACGGAGGGTTCGTACATCTTTATTTACAGTGACTGTTAGGTACATTGTTTAGCAACTTTATATATCTCTACACAGTGTTTTGGTAGTCAAGTGGATGTTGTGATGTGAAATTTTGCAACAGATGAACAAAGTTATTTCAAGTTGTGCACAAATGCATAAATGGAATTAGGAAATCCAACAGACTCCCTCTCTAAAGTGACAGATCTTGTTGTTGCGCAGACTCACAGTTTCACATTTAAATTCTATGTGGTTCTATATATAGTGTAATTAGGGAAATGCATACTCTGATGGCAACCTCCTGACAGCAAGAACAGCTGCTATGTTTATTGTGTTTCACTGAACAACATGAAAAATCCCAAAACAGAAAACTGTGTGCAACTGTTTGCCGTTAATAGGATATTGATTACAGTACACACTAAATGACATACAGACAAATCACAAAACAATCATCCAGTTTAATTTCAGGTTTACTGTGCAGACAGTCTCTAATTTTAGACTGCACGTGGACATCAGTAAGAACAGTGGGACTCTCTCTTAAATGATCACCACCAATACTGGTGCTATACTTTGTTTCTATTGATTACTTGTCAGTCTTTGTCTTTTGTCATTGTGGTGTTTTGATGACATCAAAGAGTCTTAAGTTCAGGCTGTTTTCTTTACACTGTTAACCTCTATATACTAACTACAGTTTCTTTCTCTGTTCTTTGCAAGTGAAGATGGAATTTTTCAAGCCAGCACAACTTCACTCTAACACTATGCAAGCTTTTCGACTGAGGACTCTTCACATTAGGGCCTAGACAGTACAAGAACAGTTGTTTTTAAAAAATGTCACAGCTGAGGAGTTTTTTAATGGCAAGTTGAAACACTGTCTTCTTCCAGTGACTAAGGGTTGCTCGGGAATTGCTATAAAGCGAGTTTTCATTATGCATGCTCAGCCGTGACAATTAGCATATCGAACCCAAACAAAGTGGACTTTTCCAGCCCTGGCTAAATGATCCGTAGCACAGAACTCATGGTGCTTGTGCAAAAGGGAGAGGGAAGGCTACTGATGTGACTGTTTAGCATTTGTGAGTAAGTCAGTCATGGCAGCCCATAATGAGATGTGATGAGGCTACGTGTCGAACAGCATGCAGGTTCAGATATCAAAATTGCAATTCTTGGGTGGCCTTGTTCCCAGCTTTGATCTCACGTGGTGACAGCACAATGATGGATGAGTCCCCCACGTGTACGTTTGTCTGCATACTAGAATCTGTGTCACGTTTAAGTGCTTGGCACTGTGTGTATTTGTGAGTTTGCCATAAAATTGCTTGCATATATTAGCATTTTTTTGTACTTGATGTCTGTGGAAGGAGAGTAAGTGCTCTCAGAATGTTTTGTCTCCTTGTCTAGAAGTCATGAACTTCTGGGTTAATGGGGGGCACTTTGAGAATATGTCAAAAGATGTGCACAAGAACTCATTTTTCCTTTTAATGGCTTCTTCACAAAACTCACTTCCAACTCCTGAATGTCCTGCTGATTTACAGCTGTATACATCTCGGTCAGCTTTCAAAACTTCATTTACTAGTCTCACTTTTGTCTGATTTTCAACATATTGCAAGTAGTCACAGTTAACTTGATACAATAGAGAACTGATTAAATACTTTTGTGTCTTCAAAGACATCAGTCAAGTTCAACAAATCATCTACTCTCTTCTGTGCAATGCGGTGTTTCCTGTGTCCACTTTTCACAAACTAATGAATTAAACTATTGATTCCAGCGCCTCCTCTGCCTTTGACAAAATAGTTTATTTTTACAATGACAGCTTGTTGGCCTGATACCTAAAATCTGTTGTCTGTGTTTACCAAAGCCCCTCTTCAGCACAGAATTTGCTCCTCCAGGCTGGACACCTCTCACATTTTTTGTTGCTGGTAATGCATTCACTACAACCCTCTTCATCAGTAATTGAAATGTCAGATTTACCACTTGAAGAAAGTTGATTAAAAAGTAAAATAGCACTCTGACGAACAATTGATTCATGTTCTTGTTTGTATAACACATTCATGTACACTTGCAGAAAAAAACTTTGTTGGTGATTTGAAACCTACTATAATGATGAAGTCATTAATGTGTTAGTAATAAAGTTCATTTATAAGATTGTATAAATGAAGGCCTGCCTACTTGACCGAATGATTACAGTTTAGTGCTCCACAGAGACAGTAACTGCTCTATAAAGAGTAGGTTTCAACACGCACATCTTCTGTTAAATATCATTACATCCATGGTTATGTCATGTAAACATTGACTGTTGCAGTCAGACTGAGCACAGGCCCCTCTAGAGACCAAACTCCAACACTGCCATCCTGCAGACAGCCTGTGTTTTCAGATGACCATGTTGCCACCACGGGCCACAGCTGTTGTAATGTGGTCTTTGTACGAGCAAAAGTCAAGTCTCATATGACAGATAGGAAAAAAGGAACCTCTGCTTATTGTAATATTGTCAGACTACATATGTTTTATTATGGATCCAACGCGTTTTTAATATCAGTAGACAGCCTGTCAGCTGTTGTATTTCTGCTTTCCAGTGCAATATATCAGTGGTAAATATCACTGAGGTACCTGAAGTAAAGTAAACAGCTCACAGTGCAATGTGTCTGTATTGATATTGTTTGTGCCATGACCTGAGGCATCGTAATTATTTGGTCCCAACCCAGGTGGCATGTGTTTTCCTGGTATATTTGGGTCCCATCATGGACTGTCTGCCAACTGAGAAGGTGGAAGCAGCCAAAGCTGGCAAAATCCTGTATGCTGGCAGAGCTTGTTTGTGGGTAAAATGAAAACAAAATAATATCAAAAATGGTGTGCTTGAGTAGAATGTTATTACATTCAATGTTGCCCACATAAAATGAAATAAAAATCCCAGATTTACTTCAGCTCTGCAAATGAATGCACCGATTTTGGTAATTCCGCTGAAAGCCATTATTTTTGGTGCAAAATTGCTGCTGTGACGAGGCTTTTTATATCAAACACAGTTCAAAGTTCAGCTTTATTCTCATTGTACAATACAGAGTTTCACAGCAGAATTTGTTTGGGTTGCATTCATCCATTCATTTTCTTCTGCTCATCCAGGGTCAGGCTTCGTGGAGCATTCCAGACATTCCTCTTCCCAGCAACATTTTCCAGCTCCTCCTGGGGGACCTCAAGGCAGTCCCAGGCCAGATGAGATATGTAATCCCTCCAGTGAGCTGTGAGTCTTCTCCTAGTTGGATGTGCCCTAAAAAACCTCCAGAAGGAGTCATCCAGGAAGCATCCTGATCCTGTGGTTCAATCCACCACAGCTGGCACCTTTCAATTCAGCTCTCCTCCAAACTCCATTCAGACGCCCAAACTCCTCACCCTATCTCTAAGGCTGATTCCCACCATCCTACAAAAGAAACTTATTTTGGCCACTTGTATCTGTGATGTTGCTCTTTTGGTCACTACCCAGAGCTCGTTGCCATAGGTGAGAGATGGAACATAGATTGATTGGCAAATTGAGAGCAACACCCATAAGACTGCTGACACTGCCCCCAATCCATCTGTTTTCACAGGCTCTATTTTCCTTTCACTTATGAACAAGATCCCAAGAATCAATATTTATCATTTTTAATCTTCAGTCATCTGTATGAAGGGCTTTCCTATTATTCATCTTTGCTCACATAGTAATTGTTAATGGATTGACCCACTTAGAAATTTGTCCTGACTCTCTTTCAAATGGTGTTTTATGCATAATCTATAGTTCAGCAATTCAATTTTTCCTTTGCGTCTACATGTACGCATGGGTGTGTAAATTTTGTATGAGTCAGAGAGTGTCTTTGTGTGTGTGCCGTCTGCCCATTCACTGCCAATAAAATGGACACACAAAGTCCCCCATTAGCCAGTCATGAGGTGTGTAATTAGGCTGAAGTCAGTGATGTCGCCTCTTTTTGTTTGTCATGGAAAATGCTATTTCAGGCCATTTTCCTCTAAACTGTTTGTTAACATCATACTTAAAATCACAGGAAGAAGCCTTTTTAGGCTGCATTGTAGATTTAATCTGGGACTAAATTTTGAGATGTGAACATTTTTCAAAATGGATATAAAACAAAACAAAAAGGATTTCATTTTCTTAATTCAGCCACAGCTTATTTGGATAGCTATGTGACTTTCATCCTCATTAAAACACACTAAAAGAAGTTCAATTCAGTACACTCACTCAGTTTTATAAGTATCTATGGCTTATTGTTATGTATATTGTGTTATGTTCATGCACGCAGCTAATCCATGTGAACAGCTTGGTGAAACAATTTAGGAGTGGAAAAGCTGTTTTCTCTCTTTTTAGTCAGCAAGTAGATTTTCTGCCCACATAAATTAGTTAGGCTCTCTTTGTCCGGTCAGTAACAACATGTACTGTTCTCTCCCTGCAAGGCTCATTAAAATCAGGCAGTGTAGCATTTACATCCTTTAAAGGTAATTCAAGACAGAATTACTTGGTAGAAACCTGCTGCTGCACTGCTCAGGATAAAACTGTCAGTGGTGAAAGTACTTAAATTCTTTTCTTTATCGAAGATACAGAAATGGGAAAGTAGTCAATAACATAATAGGTTAATGTATTTAAAGTGTACTTCACTAAAAACATATCAATATCCTTCATTAAAAAAATCTATTCAAATATCAGTGATTATATGTAAGTACTGTGACTCCTTTCAGAGCCAAACTGTTAACATGTTAAAGGTACATAAATCAGTGTTTGACCACTAGAGGGCAGAAAACCAGTAACATGAAACAGCAGTGTGCCCACCTGACAAATGTACAGCCAATGTTTACTCTCCTTTTAGGTCAGATGTTTCCTCCTGGAGTTTCAAAGACAAATGTCTGGTTCTTTAGTTGCCATACTGTTGAGGTTTGTGAGCTGGAAGCAAAAATTATTGTAAAAACCAAATGATATTAAAAGAGCACTGAGGGTGGAGAGTGAGTGGCGCTGAGGCAGGCTGAACATCTTTCGGCCATGGACTGTCCTGTGATGGTACCCACCTGTCACTCAAAACAGCCATGTCCTTAACTTTAAGCCTTGATGTAATTTAAACTGGGGCGTTATATTTCACTTTACCCCAATACAACTGTCATAACCAGGGAAATAAGCTATTGAGATCAAAAGGGTTTTTTGTACCAGGATGCAATCATGTTTAATTCTGCTGTAAAGTTGGAGATTTCAACATGAGGCTTTAGTGGGATTGACTTGCTTTTGTGGCCAACCTCAAGTAGCCCTTGAAGGAAATACAGTTTTTGGCACTTAACAGTTGCTTCATTTTTCAGCCTGAGAGGTTACCAGACAAACAAAAAATTTAACATTTGCTTCTGAAAGTAACAAAGCATTTCAATACAGAATTTTAGAATTTGATCATTTGGACACATTTCTACTTCAATACACAGTAAGGTCTGTGTTGTTAAAATCTAATGGCACATACCAAATTCATTTTTTACTCACACTCATTCCACACACACTCAAAAACAAACAACAAAGAACTACATCTTATATAATACTCATAAGAGGCCTGTGTGTATATGTCAGCGACGTGGTGTAGACATACAGTACTGTATAGAGGAGTCAGTGGCCTGTGCTGTATCTCTCTGAGGGAGCAGTGGCCCACCAGCACACTGAACACTTGATCCCAGAGGGTCAGCACAGAGCAGCGGTGGGAAATATCAACAGCTGTAATGTAATGTACATGTCAGTCTATCCATACAAACACACTTAAATCTCGTATTAAGCTTGTCTTTGATTTTTTTAAATGAAATGTCTCCCCATTTGTGTGCCGGTTAACATTTTGTTTATCACACTGTTGATTAGCAAATCTATATCAGTGCTCTCTGATTGTCCAGCATGTAGTCATTCACATCAATAACTCCTGTTCTATAAATCATTGAAAGAAATCCAACATAACATCTCAATATATTTTTTTAGTTAAATGAATCATGTAAATGCTATAATGTATGTTTCACTGTCCCAAAATAGAAAATTATGGACAAGGTTATCCGTCACCTCCACTGTGTTTATTATCATCTCAAAAAGGACATCTCATCCTGCTTTAAATGTAAGTAAACAGAAAAAGCCTAAATCAAATCAATATTTAGTTTGACCAGTTTTTCAAGGTACTTAGCAGAGAGGTTGTTTAGAGAGCCACTTGTGGATTTAGACTATCTCGATTCATCCAGAGTGATTAACTGGTTTTCCACTGCAAGAGCTTGCGCGTCATTTGACCTGAACCTTTGGGCATGTTCCAATTAGAAAAACCGCCCCTGTAGGACCTCTTTTAGGGCCATTCCCAGAGGGCAAGAAGGACCGTTTTTCTGCTCTCTGGATGTCCTCATCAATAGCAGTCTTCTTCTTTCTAACATCACCGTCAACAATGTAAAATTTACTACGTAGACCAACTAATTTACTATATAGACCAACATAACACTCACTCTCATAATGACAGGTAGCCAACTGTCATGTGCAATAAACCCAAGTGCAATTCATCCATGCAGATATTCTTAAAATTATTTTTCTTTTATGGGCTTTTGCCTTTATTCAGATAGGATAGTGAAGAGAGACAGGGAAACGTGGGGAGAAGAGTGGGGGGAGGACATGCAGCAAATGAGCCGCTGGCTAGACTTGAACTGTGGCCGCTGCATCGGGGACTGTAGCCCCTGTACATGGGTCTCCATTTTTTCTGGTTGAGTGGCTGGGGCGCCCATGCAAATATTCCTAAATTTGTGTTCTTAGTATCCTTGTGTTCTTCTGTTTTTATTTTTATACATATTGTATAGAGTGTATATGCCTCGCCTTTTAATTTATAGTTGTGCTGTCTTGTTTTTCTTACTGTCACTTTGC